ACAAATCCAAAACATTTTCTTACTTTTTAACCACACATTCTCCAACAAAATACTATTTCAAAATGCATTTTAGTCCAAAAATGGGGCTCAAACAGGGGCTAAATGTAGAAAAACACATCTGTTAAAATTCACAAAACTCAATTGAAATACGCTCTTCGAAAAGAGGAACTCTGCCAGAGAATTGATTTACTCTCTGCTTAGCATAAAAATGTTATCAGGTCTCCAGCTATTCTGAAGACCTTGGAACCATTTACCAAATTTGAAAAGTTACAGTAATAGCCTTGATAATTTTGCTATCCTGTGGCCTTTTAGAGTTCAAGTCATTGTCCTACAGACAGATCTTGACCAAATATCAAGCATAAAACACTGAAAACTGTTTTCATAATAAATAGAACGTCATATTTAGTATTGTTCTTTTGAAATGGTTCATTTTAATGTCAAACCTGCACTTCTCTGCCCTCTTTGATCTAACTTCATCTAAAGTACAGTTTTGAGATGTGCTCTTGAATCTAGTTGCAATAAGAATTTCTTCTTACAATACAAACGTATGTTTATGGGCCGAAAAGCAAATTTCATACAAATGCATTTCGGTAAAATTGTGCTTCAAATTCGAAGGAAAAACTAGAAAGCACAATTAATAAACTGCAAAGCAATGTCAATAAGAAACGAGTTTTGTTGTCTTGATACACAAGTAAAGAATTCTATTTCTGTCAACAATCAGCAGTAATCGTAGGTGATATGAGATTTATTATTATTATTATTTGGGTGGATGTACTTTATCAACATAGAATAAAAGCATGTTTGCAAAGCTTATAATTGCTTAGAAGTTTATGAAACTCTATTTTTAACCCCATAATCCGTAACACCCACAACTTTTACCCACTTATTGTCCACACTTTCTTAGGACCCAATGCTTATAATCTAATAAAACCTTCGCCAAATATGCTCTATATCTCCTCTTGTGCCTTCAATTTCTATGAAGTCGATCCATCTCAAGCACACAGATGCATCTATGGAGAATATTCATGTGTCTTCTCTACCATTTTAGAAAAAGAAATGTGCAACTAAATAGTGAATTCTCTTAGCTCATGTCTAGAGGAGGATTGCATATTTGTGCATAGCTCATGAGCATACCAGTTGTGATAGTTCTGAATCGCTCTTGCCCAGCAGTATCCCAAATTTGCAGTTTGATCCGTTTACCATCCAGCTCTATGGTCCTTATCTTGAAGTCAATGCTGCATAAGAAATTTAAGTTTAAGGAGGGTTGCATAAGAACGTTGACTTCACACTGAAATATTACATCTTCATTTTTTCAAATAGACATACCCGATGGTAGTAATGAAACTGGTGGTGAAAGAACCATCAGAGAAACGTAATAGAAGGCAACTCTTACCCACACCTGAAAGCATATTGTTATAATGTGACATAACAATATGTGAAAACAGTTGATAAATCCTAATTCCAAACCTACAGATAGATGAAATAAACTACGACAAAGGAAAAGAAAATCAAAACTAACTAAGGGGAACAAATAAACATCATTGACATTCATTCAGCCAGCAAAGCTATCACGGACTCGTCCCAACACATTC